CCCATACGTTCCTCAGTACAAATTTGAGGATAATAACAGGAATTCAAAGTATCGAAGCGTCACCAAGAGAGTGACGTGTCACATTTATCATCTGGAAACGTTCGAGCGTCCACTTTTTATCCACGACTGAGATAAACAGCTCCAAAGGCGGAAATTACACGCATTTGAAGCGTGACACTGGAATAAAAGACTTATTCTTCGTCGTATGTTTCGACTTTGAAGCGCAGAGCTGAATCTGCAATTATTTCCCTAAATAGAATTAATCATTTGAGTTTTTAATTCTGAAGTATTGTTTTTTCTTAATTCTTAAATATTTAGAGAAGCTGCAAGCAACTTAACTCGTAATGTAGCAAGTCCCTGAGGACCTAATAGCTCAGCTAGTCGAAAAGATCCCATCCAAAACACTGGGGTAAAAATCTGTTTTGGAAACAGAATTTTCCATTTTCAGACGCAATTATATCACGGCATGATTGTGAAATTTGGGGAATTTAACAAAATTAACATAACGAGGAGCTTCGCCAATTGTACGGGGCACCTAGCACAGTGAGGAGGCTCCGATGGGCTGGACATGTAGCACGCTTGAGGGGGGTTTGGTAGGAAATCCTTCTGGATAAGGTCCACTGGGTAAACCAAGGAGGAGATGGGAGGATGACATAAAGATGGATCTTAGGGAGGTGGGCTGAGAGGATGGCAAATGGATGGAATTGACTCAGGATCGTGGCCGGTGGCGGGCTTTGGTGTTGAACCTAGGGAGTTAGTTAATTAGTTAGTAGGACTTTTGTTTGAAACATTTTTTCGCTCCACGCGCGAGGGTCTTCATGTAGTAGTGCATTGACTGATACTTTTCTCAGATTTTAAACAAAACTGGAACATCTCCAGAAATTGTAGTCAACAACTACTACAAGGATTGGGCCTATTGACCCGTTCCGGGACATTTTATCAAGGCAACTTATCCTTATTAGTCTTGTAGGGTGCATTTGAGTAGTAAGTGGCAAGCCCACTCTGCCTCTGCACAATTTCTTCTCAATCCTGATTTGTCTGCTAGAGCCATCTAGTAGTGAATCAGGAGAGATTTGGGTGAGAAATGGCCGCCGAATTTTGCTTACGAAACATTTCGTTCATGCCCAGTTTACACAACCCTGGCACAACCCACTTTCCAAACCATGAACTTGGTGAGGACGTAGAAATACACTAGATTTCTTTGTTGAAATGTTTTGTGGATTTTGCAAATATAGCAAAAGGTTTACCAACCCAACTTGTCTTCTTTCTGGAATTCGCACTTCTAAAGCATTTAATAATTTGGAACTAATTTCAGTCTTTAAATTTTTTAGTTCACTTAACAGAAATTATTACATATTAATTCTAGTCTCTAAAACCGGTTTTTTTAAATTTTAAAAACTGGTTTTCGAATTTTTACAAATTTATCCAAAAAACCGGTTTTTAAAAACCGACAAACCCTAGTTCATACAGGATTTGGGTAGGGAATCCTTCTGGTACAAAAACACTGGGCAGATAAAAAAGGAGATGGGAGGAAAACACCAAGATGGATCTTAGGTAGGTGGGCTGTGAGAATGGCAAATGTATAAAGTTGGCGCAGGATCGTGGCCATGGGGGGGAGGGGGAGGCTTTGGTGTTGCCGGTGTTGAACCTGTTTGTAATTGGAACACTAAGCACGGCTTACGTCTACTTGTACATAAAATGATAATTGCTTACCCCTCTCCTTTCTTCATGACCCAGCATTTGATCTTGAAATGGAAAATAATCGCTTCTATTATAAATTAGACTTTGATTTTGTTTACCACCACTTCTACTAAAATGCACTCGGTCAAGCTTCACAGCTGTTACTGTACTTCTATATTTACCCTGTAGATGTCAGGAGAGTCTAGGTGCGCCCCTGTCACAGTATACTACATGCTCTACTATTTGTAACTGATGCGTGATCGGATGTACTATCTTCCAGTTTATATGCATTGCTGCAATGGCCAATCAAATTCCTTGAACTCAGTATGAAAACATATACGGACCGCAGTCTAAAATTATAAATACTTTAAATATGTATTTATTAAATAATTAAATATTTGCAAAATTAGTTTCAATAAAATATGAAGCCTAAAATACTGATCCCTAACTCTGATTTGTGAATAAAATGTTGCCGATTCATATGCTCACATTCATGACTGTGTCAAACTACTGACGTCGAAGCGCTTAGGATGGCTGTGAATATCACAAATAATGTTTTCAACTTACCCTTCTTCTCTCTTCATAACGAAGCACTTCATCTTGAGATTAAAATCACTTTAATCAGAATGTGGACTATTACACTTCAAAACTGTTGTCTCACCTTCCATGACACAAGAACTTGGAATAAATAAATAAGCAGTCAAACTATCTTCCTTTATAAGTGCATTCCTACGGGAACCAATCAAATTTAATTTCCGTGCGCCAAATTGTTCAGGTATATGAAAATAAATACGAATCAATACGAATCACATTGCACACCACTCAATAGATGGCAGTTGCTTATCCACTCTGTACGGTTCAACTTCCAAGTAGTCTCCAAAATTGTCAGTAGATGGCAAGAAGCTGTACTTGGAACGTAATGGGTGTACCATGCAACCACAAGCAAAATCTTTTTTGAATTCAGATTTTAGGCAATACCCCAAAAATACCGTTTAAATGTCTTGAGGCACATCTTCAGAATCTTAACATCTTTGACTCTAACTGGGAATAAAATACTAAGCCACGAAATAAAAATTACGATCACTCAGGGAAAAATCACGAGAATTTTTTAGTCCTACGGCAGACCCAAGACAAGCCTAATATGATTTGTGTGTTTTAAATGAAAGCAAAACATTTCCTTCAGTAGAAAGTGGCGGAATAAAACCAACAATACGATGCCACATGATACAAAGTTGTTCTGAAAGTTTGTTACCAGTAACATGATCTTATTGTTATCAAGATTTGTGCTCGAGGAGCAGAGTAGGTCATGACTTATTTCTTAATCCTGTCCTATTTGGCTGGTTTGTCCTGAAAGTAATAATGAAACGTCTTATTTGAGTGCTCTAATAACGAACTCTCTCTGATATGCGGTATGTATACGCTAAAAATAAATGAACTGCGTAAACGTTAAACTGCCTGGTAACAAAAATCAGAGCCATTTATTTCTAAACGCTCTCCGAATATAAGCTACTGAGAATAAAAATGGCGTGCTCTTTGTTAATCTTTACTTCATGACAATAGAAACTTGGTTGTCAAAAGACGTTGTTTAGAAACCAGTTTTATAATTACACTATTTTCAAATTTATTGCCTCATTGTTATTGTAGGCTTAAAAAACATGGCTTCCTTAAAATCAAATAAAACTGGCGATGAAGTATTCTCATTATTTCAACTACCGACGTACGAATGTATAAACCATATGCACATTCTTGCAATAAAATTGTATTCAGTGCACTGAAGACAAAGACGTTATGTTACAGAACCCAAAGATTCATTACAGTGTTCACAAAAGCCCGCTGCTATTCCACACGAACCCAATTTACACTGATCAAATAAAACTGGCGATGAAGTATTCACATTATTTCAACTACGAATGCATAAACTATATGCACATTCTTGCATTAAAATTGTATTCAGTGCACCCAATTTACACTCTTAAACCACATTTTAATATTATCTCTCCATCAAAACCGAAGCTTGCCCAAGTGGTTCTTTCCTTCAAGGTTTTCATACTAGACGAAGAACAAATATTTATCCGTAAAAATTCCCTGAACTTTGTACGGATTGCTTTAGATTTAGCAACTAAGCGCAGCGGATGGTTAAACATTGTTTATCGACTACATAGCATAACGACAGTATGATTACGAACTGACAACAAAAGGTTCTGGAACTTATATGACGCATTGTCAAAACATGTGAGTAGTTCGTCAGGTCTGGGATATATAAGTCTCGGCCAGATGTTATTATTTTGACGGAATATTTTCGAGTTTTTCCTCAGTACCTCCAGAAAATTTTCCAGGTCGTAACTCGTCTCGGCCAGATGTTATTATTTTGACGCAATATTTTCGAGTTTTTCCTTAGTACATCCAGAAAATTTTCCAGGTCGTAACTTACATTAGGCCTATATAGCTCCATCATATCCCTATCACTTCCAATCAATTATTTTCTGATCGTCGTATCATTCCGTTCTCTTAAATCTGTACTACTTATAGCGTCATAAAAAAGTAAGTGATAAAGGAATCCGCCCTCTTTCCAGTATCAACAATAACCGATTGTGTTTCCTGGTTAGTCAGTCAGTCACACCCTCGTTATATCAACGTGCATTGCACTGGCTCGGAAGGGGGAGAGAGCAACACGTGTGTTCGGTGCTCTGTGGCTGCACCGTGATAGTGACACGTGTGCCTTCTTGCTTGAAAATCGTAAACAAATCTTTTTAAGACTCAGGAGAAGGCGATAACTATAAGCAACTACTTCATTTCCCCAATCAATGCTATATGCCGTACCTATGTCGTCGTCAAGGAGATCATGAAGTGTAAACACAATATCTTATTGGAGGATCCATGCCTAATCGATTAGAATCTGTAGGATCAGAAGCGATTCCTTGTTTGGTATCCAATTACAGAATATAGTGTCACAACCCAGAATAACAAAACTAAAATAAACAGACAACAAGCAAAGAAAACAAATAAATACAAAACTAGAACCTAAATGAGATCAGGAAATATATTCAAGTTTCAAATTCAGGATCGATATATAATCGATACATTCATTATTGAATGCCCCCATTCTATCGACGATACTGTTTCGATAATTATTAATTCGATGTCGTAACGATAATATAGATCGAAAGGAAAAACAAGTTTGCAGAAAAAATAATCGATGTTCACAGACGTAAGTATGTAAAGTTTGGGCATGTTATGCTTTCAAATCAGAGAGACTGAAGAAACTGAAGTGAGTATAAATATTGACACATTGTATTTGAAAGAATCATTTCTGAGGCAGGTAGTGTGAGAAAAGTGTACTAAAAATACCCAGACGAAGAATGAGGCAGATTAACATTTGAAACGCGGCAGCACATGTGACGTGTAAGATAATGTACTTGTATCCTAGGCAACAGGCGGGGTCCGAGATCAGCCAATGAGGTTTCGAGACGTGTCAGCTACGAGGGCGGGATGTACACTACAGCAGTACACGGCGTGTAAGCCGGCAGAAGGTTTTCTGGTATCGTCGTGGTTGCAGTAAGTTTGGTATTGCGCTAGAAATAATATCGAATCGAGTGCTGTTTTAATAATGGAGATCAATTCATCGCCAAATTTCGAGAGGAAATTTCATATCAAGAGAACTTTCAGGAATAACAAAAAAGGTAAGTTCTAAATTCTGTTGTTAATGCTATTTAAGGACTGGAAAATTATTAATCTTGTTTGTATCCTATCATAAAATATTTTCATACAAAAATAGTGACCATTGACAAGGTGTGCATGTGTTAGGAATGTAGACATGTAGGTTAAGTGAGGGAAGTTGCTATGGACGTTTAATAACCCTATTTAGTTGCACAGTTATTTATTAAATAATGTCATTATATGTATTTGTCAGGTTTGTTGTTTTAAAACGGGTTTTTGTTGTGTATGCTTTCATTGACAGCTGAAGGAAGTGATGCGTAATAAGTGAGCATAATTACAGGTTTATTCAACCATATTTTAGTAATCTGTTGACGTTATAATGTGCTAGCGCCAACGTGGTGGTTGGGACAATGACTGCAGTTATATTGGGCAGTGGAGTTTGAGGTTAGCAAAGAAGCCGGCAACCCAACCTTTCATTGCGCCATGTGGCTGTAGTTACTGACATCGATACAGATGGCGCACTCGTCGATCAAAATTAAGATTTTACATCCACCCAACCCCTTTCATAAATCGATTATTTCCACGTCGTTTTTGTAAGAATTAACAGGGTGCAGTGATTAAACAATTAAGCTCCGTGTCTTCTGTGTGATACGCCGTTGATTGATGTATCGTGTTGTGTCATACGCGTAGGTTGGACAGCGTGTAATGGTAGGGTGATTTGAAAAATGTGTCTGGCTTTAAGGTAGGATTTCAGAATTCTATTCAAGGGACTGGAATTTTACGAAGGCGATGAATCAGGTGTCCACATTCGAACCCACGACCTTCCTTAATTCGGAACTGGTGAGGATTTATATTTTGAAGTGGTTTCATGAGATTGTCAGATCTTGTAACATTTATGGGAGCTATGTACACAAATACATATTATTACATTACTTTGATTCATAAGTACAATAAGTATATACAAGTGAATTTCAGAGTATTATAAACTTTCCACATAGAATAAAGTAAGATTTCACATAAAGTAATGAAGTGTTTAAAATAAATCCACACATTAAATAAATTATATTGCCCATTTACACTGTACAGTGGCAAGAAGACCTTTGAAAATATAATGAGTCATTTTAAAAATATATATAAATTCATCAACAGAGTAAAATGAGTGTGTATTTAAGTTTCTTTTTAATGCTACTTAAAATTGTGACTTACTTCATAAGACTCATGGGATTAGATACTTGACTGTTGATAATTTTGATGCCAGTGTAGAATGCACTTGTCTGAAAACATGAGAGATTGGAAATTAGTTTTTGAAGCTGAACCTTATTTGTTGTGGTAACACTGCGCACAGTGGAAATAGTCTAAAAATGTTCTTCGTTATTCAGAGTTCAGTTCAGTTAAGAGAATGTGTGTGTGTGAAAAGCTAAAATTTCTGATCTCTTAAATAGACTTCTGCATAAATGTGATTGGTGGATATTGTTTAAGTGGATCTTAAATATGATGTTGATTTGATTTATGTGGATCAAAATATGGACGGTAGCAGGCTCTTGTGAATACTGTAATGCGCCTCTGAAGACTTATAAAAGGCGGGGAATTTCCTTAATGAGTTAGTGACATTTAGCTTCACTAAAGAGGACTCTGTGAAGTAAGTTACATATTTTAACTCTTTGAAGCATAAAATGTTTTTGCTGATCAATTTTATAAAGTTTATAAAAACTGATTTTGCAACCATTGTAGCACGGGACAGCGCTTCCAAGTCTCAATAATAGGAAACGAACGTGGCAACTTTTTTTTTTAATATTATCACAGCGCGATTTATCTTATCGTTCTGCATTTAGTCATTTCTTATCAACGAATTGCACCTTTATCAGTGATGGGTCTCAGGGTGATGGCAATAAACAGGTACATTTGTACTGAACTGCAGTTGCTTTACAATTCACGTACTTACAGTGCCATTATTTTATGTAGGCCGCAGTTTTGGCTGCGCAGGGGAATAACAACAATAATTCTACATGATGTTAATGTATACCATGACGGTTCAGAAGCCAATAAGTTACTCATTAAATTTAATTCAAAAAAACAAACAAACGAAATGTGTAATTAATTTAGCCAGATTAAATTAACATTAAAGGTGAGAAAAAAAAGTTTTTTGAAGAATGCTGCTTAAAAATAAGTGTAAAAAAGACGCTGCATTTAAAATCGATGTTCTGACTTAAGTATTAGCTTCTAAGTCGTCCATATATGCCCAGTTTGTTTTATTTAGCTTTCATATACTCTGATTGTGTGACGTTAAATGGTGATCCATTAACCTTTGTCACGTCACGTAGCGGACAAGTTAGAATTTGCCACGAAATACAAAATGTTTGCAGCTCTTAGCGTCAAGTTGGTTTGGTAAGATCTCAGGTTATCACCATGACTGTCTTATGAGATGTTGGACCGTGTAGCCTGATAATGGAGGCAGTAAGCTCCTCTCGAAACGCCTGTCACGGCGCAACATCCCTGAAGGCAAGCAATCAAAAAGTGTAAGGAGTTTCTTTGTGGTGAGGTGTCGGTATTTCCATGTTCAGTCCCGGGCTAGAGGACCGACCACCCCTTGTCGGCTGTCTGCCACAAGGACACGCCTCTCAGCAGGTGCTAGCCTTATCGGCAAACAATGCAGGCTCGAGGGTAATGGCGGTCCAGACAGATGACACGACAGCACAGCTGATGCAGATGGACCTTCTGATCGCCTCCTGTTGAGTCTCGTTTTGTCGCAGAGAAATACCGCAATATCGTAACCTTTCTCCTGGCAACAGCCGAGTCTGGCCCACATTGTCGCCGTCTTCCGGCGACTGGTTTGTCTTCGTGGCGATCTGTGGCCCACACAGGGGGCCGCTCACGCATTGCCACGCACGATAAAAGTGCGTCGTGCGGCCTCGCACGTAGTTGTCTGCGGGGCATTGACCTACAGACTATGCCAAAATGTTCGTTTCTGAGGCCGCACGAGGGGCCCCGTTGCCGGCCCCCCCTTTTGTCTCCGCGGGGTCTCTTCCGTTGTTTTAATGTTTTCGTAGTTCTAAATTGCCGACGGACGAAATCCCACGACGATAATGATCTTGGCACGTGCGCTTGGTTTTCCTGAGTCCTTCTAGTAAACATCCGGTTAGTGCCTTAAAGTAGTCCACGACCGCTTCCTTCCGGATCATTTACATTTCATTACTCGCTGTTGATTCGACGTTATGTGGTCGACGAAACTGAAAATGTCGTTGAAATAAACTATAAATAAACAAAAAATCGATGGTGAAACCAGAACGAGACAGTTTGGAAAACGGGAAATGCGATATTGAAACACGGTATTGCAGTTTGTGTAAAGTTACGGGTTTCGTATAATTCTCATTGAAAACAGCTTTTATTTTCTTAAACAGCGTTAACCAGTTGATCTTTGTAATGGTGAAGTGTCGTGTTTTCTTCGCGGTACGGACTGAATTCTTATATATTATTTAGACGAGCCTCTGCTCCAAATGGTTAATTAATTATCAGAATAAATTATATTATTTCCTTAAACAGCGTCAACCAGCTCATCTTCGTAATGGTGAAGTGTCGTGTTTTCTTTTCGGTACGGACTGAATTCTTAAATATTGTTTTGCCCTCCTCAGGTCGAAACTGCGTACAAAAGATTAACGAGAAAGTTACACACGTGAGGTGGTTACATTAGATGGAGAATGTTTCAGAATCTGCGGTCAAGAAATGAAACTCTGACCTTTTCCAAGCCGCGTGCAGAAACATCCTTGCCTAGGGCACGCCGATGAGCGGTTTGAAGTTGTTACAAGGCTCTTTCTGGTCGAATGTACCGGGTGATTCCTTATTAGGCGAGTCCTGGCCATCTCAGAGTTGTTTAATTTATCGAAAAAGTACGGGCTGCAGTATATACACATGCGCCTTTGAAGAATAATTTAAATTAACAAGTTATTTTATTCAATGCCGATATCATTGTGTTCCTAGGGGATAAATCTCGCCCGTAGCATGGAAAGGGTTAATGTTTTATGCCGTCGAATGACGATGGTTATGCGTGTAGTCTATAGGGAGGGGCGCAGTCAATTTAAGGACGGCTGTCTTCTGGGATGTTGCACTGTTCTTAACCGACGTTTCAGAGGTCTATCCTCCCTCATATTTGCAGGCGTGAAAAGGTGAACAGAATTATTTCTTGGGTAGTCAGTCAGTGGCAAACAACCAAAGTAAGCAGATGGTTTCTGTAGAGATTAGAAAGTTGTTTCGCGAGTCAATACACTCTCGCAGAATCTTTTCAGAATGTTTGAGCAGTTCGTCGTGAAGATGGAAGGAGATGCTTGTTTCTTTGCAGCGGTTGATGAGTCATCCAGCGAGAGGAAAAATGCCTTTTTAGGACGAATGCTACTTCTTGTATTCTTTTTTATTTGTAGTGTTCTGTCTGACGACAGGTCCATATGAACAGGATCCTTCCATCCTTTTCTCGGACTGGGACCTGTTCATATACGTTCTTGGCAGATGATCCAGAAGTGGTTTGCCATTGCCTTCTTCTGTGTGTGAATGGAGTAATTGTTGGGATGCCACGGAGGAAAACTCCGTGTTGTCTAGACCACGGCCTTGCCCAACACAAGTTATAAATTCGGGCACCGCCGGAAATCGAACCCGAGACCCCAGGATTACAAGGCCAGCCTTCTAACCGCTAGACCACCGTGGCTTTCGATACAGAGCTATTACTTGAAAAAGAACCAACAATACAGATATCTGCGGTGTATTTTCCCGCCTAATTGTTCGTCCTTGCATACAGGTAACGCAAGAATGTCTTAGGGCGGTATCGCACTAGGATGCCATGGCAGCGACACCAACAGCGATGCCATGGCGTCCAGCTGCCAGAAAAAGACGCCAGACAAGCTGCCAGCTTTCGACGCCAGTCGAGCGAACAGATGGATCAACATTATGAGATCACGAAATGAAGGGCTATTAGCAAGGAGAAATGTCCACTTTTATCACTTTTGAGAAAATGAGATTTACCTTTATCAAAACTACATACCTGGAGTGAATTTCAATTCTGTAACAAAGAAATACGTAAAAAAAATTCTCCATACACACTCTTTGCACGTCCATACCATTATTGAATTTGAAATATTTCAGTTCTTGCAAATCACATGTAATATTACATGAACAAACTTTATTTAATAAAACATTATAAAAGCAGGTTTCTTCTTAATTCACATTATTTGTGATATATAGATAGATATATAGATTGCTAAACAAAAAAACTTATAAATCAAGTTGCCATATTGGAAAGCGGCCCCACAAATAAAGCCA